CCCCCCCCCCTTAACAGGACATTCAGGCATCGCTAAAAGATCTCCATCTCCATCCCATATTCCTTACCTTAATGCCGATAAGCTGCAGTTCATAAAATCAGGACCGATGTCGCTGCTTTTCAGTATCTGTCCCAGCTAGGTATAAAGGAAAATCGACGTCTTTACTGCTGATAGTAAAACACTGTTGCCAACTAGTTTATGAAAATCTTACGTGGAACAGCTACTGGGCTACGTCCGCGTGGGTCTCCTTACCAATTTAGCGAAGACTCGTTCTGTTGAGCTGAACAGCCTTGACTTGGGGTTACCCATCTCTGGCCTATAGATCAAATTGATTGCGGTGAAGTTCACTGTAAAGCGTCCGGTTACCGTTGGAGGTTTGGATGTGGGAGCAACAGCTGGAAGAGATACAGTGCATCTCAGATATGGAAGCCAATTTTGGTAGACAAGAAGGCGCTGGAGCTCACTGATAGGTGTGCTCGATCAATCACTGTTTTCTATTTTGCAGATCCTGTTATGAACACAGGGTGTTCGGTGGGGCATAACCGACGTTTATCAAGAAGGATACATTTTCCACATTTCATCTCAGAAATGGAAGGAAGACGTGGTGGCACATAATCTCTCAGTCAATCACTGCTTTTTCTTTGCAATTTATTAAGATAGGTTTAGTGGTGCATAACACAAGATTGTCAACAAGTATTTAGATAATTTTTTCATAGTATCTGTTTTTTTCTATCTGGTATTGGTTCAGAACATCCTGGCCGTATGTGATTAATCCCACTTACTTTATGTCTTTCTCTTCTGCTATCATGCCCTCCAAAAATTTTGATTGTACCTCATGTATGCACATCCATATATTAAAGGAATACTTGTAGGAGGAAAAAGGAAAAGTGAGCAAATGACGATGCTGCATCCACCCCACCAGTTTTTCCAAAAGTGAAGGCATAGTTTGTATCAAATGCAAGCTCATGTTGAGTTTGGGTTGAGGTCAGACTCTCCCAAAATTGAAACAGAGGATCGAAATCTTCCTCCATGCCCAATTTCATAGTGTAAGAATTGTTATTACTTACTTATTGTCATTTCAGGCAATGTAGTAGTTTGGGAACTTGTAACATTCCTATTATCACCAGGCTGCTGTATTGGCCTATCAGTGACGGGATGAATTTCAGGTTCACTGATCTCAAGTGCTGGAGAGGGAAAACTTAAATTAGTTCTCATCAAACATTATTCTTCATGAAATCATGGCATGAATGAAAAACTACAATAATCTATTTTCCAAGATCAAGAAGGAGGAATAAAGTTAGAGTGTATGTGTATGTACACACACACACACACTATATAAGAAGATTATCTATCTATCTATCTATCTATCTATCTATCTATCTATCTATCTATCTATCTATCTATCTATCTATCTATCTA